GCCAAAAAACGTCATAGTATAGTATGGCAAAAAACGTCAAAAAAATATCATAGTATATTAAGGCATAAAAGGTCATATAAACGTCATAGTATGGCAAGGCATGTGATGAAATAATATAATTAGGCATAAAAATGCCAAAAAACGTCAAAGTATAGTATGGCAGAAAATGCCAAAAAACGTCATAGTATAGTATGGCAAAAAACGTCAAAAAAATATCATAGTATATTAAGGCATAAAAGGTCATATAAACGTCATAGTATGGCAAGGCATGTGATGAAATAATATAATTAGGCATAAAAATGCCAAAAAACGTCAAAGTATAGTATGGCAGAAAATGCCAAAAAACGTCATAGTATAGTATGGCAAAAAACGTCAAAAAAATATCATAGTATATTAAGGCATAAAAGGTCATATAAACGTCATAGTATGGCAAGGCATGTGATGAAATAATATAATTAGGCATAAAAATGCCAAAAAACGTCAAAGTATAGTATGGCAGAAAATGCCAAAAAACGTCATAGTATAGTATGGCAAAAAACGTCAAAAAAATATCATAGTATATTAAGGCATAAAAGGTCATATAAACGTCATAGTATGGCAAGGCATGTGATGAAATAATATAATTAGGCATAAAAATGCCAAAAAACGTCAAAGTATAGTATGGCAGAAAATGCCAAAAAACGTCATAGTATAGTATGGCAAAAAACGTCAAAAAAATATCATAGTATATTAAGGCATAAAAGGTCATATAAACGTCATAGTATGGCAAGGCATGTGATGAAATAATATAATTAGGCATAAAAATGCCAAAAAACGTCAAAGTATAGTATGGCAGAAAATGCCAAAAAACGTCATAGTATAGTATGGCAAAAAACGTCAAAAAAATATCATAGTATATTAAGGCATAAAAGGTCATATAAACGTCATAGTATGGCAAGGCATGTGATGAAATAATATAATTAGGCATAAAAATGCCAAAAAACGTCAAAGTATAGTATGGCAGAAAATGCCAAAAAACGTCATAGTATAGTATGGCAAAAAACGTCAAAAAAATATCATAGTATATTAAGGCATAAAAGGTCATATAAACGTCATAGTATGGCAAGGCATGTGATGAAATAATATAATTAGGCATAAAAATGCCAAAAAACGTCAAAGTATAGTATGGCAGAAAATGCCAAAAAACGTCATAGTATAGTATGGCAAAAAACGTCAAAAAAATATCATAGTATATTAAGGCATAAAAGGTCATATAAACGTCATAGTATGGCAAGGCATGTGATGAAATAATATAATTAGGCATAAAAATGCCAAAAAACGTCAAAGTATAGTATGGCAGAAAATGCCAAAAAACGTCATAGTATAGTATGGCAAAAAACGTCAAAAAAATATCATAGTATATTAAGGCATAAAAGGTCATATAAACGTCATAGTATGGCAAGGCATGTGATGAAATAATATAATTAGGCATAAAAATGCCAAAAAACGTCAAAGTATAGTATGGCAGAAAATGCCAAAAAACGTCATAGTATAGTATGGCAAAAAACGTCAAAAAAATATCATAGTATATTAAGGCATAAAAGGTCATATAAACGTCATAGTATGGCAAGGCATGTGATGAAATAATATAATTAGGCATAAAAATGCCAAAAAACGTCAAAGTATAGTATGGCAGAAAATGCCAAAAAACGTCATAGTATAGTATGGCAAAAAACGTCAAAAAAATATCATAGTATATTAAGGCATAAAAGGTCATATAAACGTCATAGTATGGCAAGGCATGTGATGAAATAATATAATTAGGCATAAAAATGCCAAAAAACGTCAAAGTATAGTATGGCAGAAAATGCCAAAAAACGTCATAGTATAGTATGGCAAAAAACGTCAAAAAAATATCATAGTATATTAAGGCATAAAAGGTCATATAAACGTCATAGTATGGCAAGGCATGTGATGAAATAATATAATTAGGCATAAAAATGCCAAAAAACGTCAAAGTATAGTATGGCAGAAAATGCCAAAAAACGTCATAGTATAGTATGGCAAAAAACGTCAAAAAAATATCATAGTATATTAAGGCATAAAAGGTCATATAAACGTCATAGTATGGCAAGGCATGTGATGAAATAATATGATTAAGGCATAAAAATGCCAAAAAACGTCAAAGTATAGTATGGCAGAAAATGCCAAAAAACGTCATAGTATAGTATGGCAAAAAACGTCAAAAAAATATCATAGTATATTAAGGCATAAAAGGTCATATAAACGTCATAGTATGGCAAGGCATGTGATGAAATAATATAATTAGTCATAAAAATGCCAAAAAACGTCAAAGTATAGTATGGCAGAAAATGCCAAAAAACGTCATAGTATAGTATGGCAAAAAACGTCAAAAAAATATCATAGTATATTAAGGCATAAAAGGTCATATAAATATCATAGTATGGCAAGGCATGTGATGAAATAATATAATTAGTCATAAAAATGCCAAAAAACGTCAAAGTATAGTATGGCAGAAAATGCCAAAAAACGTCATAAACAAAATCATAGGATATTAAGGNTAAACATCATAGTATGGCAATGCATGTGATGAAATAATATAATTAGGCATAAAAATGCCAAAAAACATCAAAGTATAGTATGGCAGAAAATGCCAAAAAACGCCATAGTATAGTATGGCAAAAAACGTCAAAAAAATATCATAGTATATTAAGGCATAAAAGGTCATATAAACGTCATAGTATGGCAAGGCATGTGATGAAATAATATAATTAGTCATAAAAATGCCAAAAAACGTCAAAGTATAGTATGGCAGAAAATGCCAAAAAACGTCATAAACAAAATCATAGGATATTAAGGCATAAAAGGTCACAAAAACGTCATAGTATATTAGGGCATAAAAGGTCATTAAAATATCATATTATGTTGAGGCACCAAACGACATAGTATAGTAAGGCATAAACACATAAAAATGCCAAAAAAGTCATACTATACTATGGCATAAAAATGCCAAAAAACGTCATAGCATAGTATGGCATAAAAAGTCACAAAACATGATAGTATATTAAGGCATAAAAGGTCATAAATACGTCATATTATGGTAAGTTATCAAACGACATAGTATAGAACGGCATAAAAATATCAAAAATGGTCATATTATAGTATGGCATAAAACATCAAAAAAACATGATAGTATACTAAGGCATAAAAGGTCATGAAAACGTCATAGTATGGCAAGGCATGAGATGAAATGATATAGTAAGGCATAAAAATTTTAAAAAACGTCATAGTATAGTATGGCATAAAACGTCACAAAAACATGATAGTATATTAAGGCATAAAAGGTCATAACAACGTCATAGTATGGTAAGGCATCAAATGATATAGTATAGCATGGCATAAAATATCAAAAAACGTCATACTATAGTATGGCATAAAAAGTAAAAAAAAAAAAAGATAATAGGATATTAAGGCATAAAAGGTCATAAAAACCTCATAATATGGCGAGGCATAAGATGAAATGATATAGCAAGACATAAGGCACAAAAACGTCATAGTATAGTTTGTCATAAAAATGCCAAAAAACGTCATAGTATAGTATGGCATAAAAAATCAAAAAAACTTCATGGTATATTAAGGCATAAAAGGTCATGAAAACGTCATAGTATGGCAAGGCATAAGACGAAATGATATAGTAAGACATAAAAGGCACAAAAACGTCAGTATAGCTCGTCATAGGCATAAAACCGACATACTATATAAGGCTTAAAACACGTCAAAAAACGTCATAGTATAGTAAGGCCTAAAAAGGCATAAAAAGTCATAGAAGCCTATAGTAAGGCACAAAAACCTCATAGTATAGCAAGGCAGAAAAAAGTCAGCTAGAGTTGCCAATTAACCTAATGTATACCACAGTATATTAAAAGGCATAAAAATCATTTTATAGTATGGCATAAAAAGTGATACTATAGAAGGCATGAAAATGCCATAGCATACTCAGGCATAAAAAAGTCATAGTATAGCAAGGCAGAAAAAAGTCAGCTAGAGCTAACCTAATGTGCATGTCTTTGAATTGTATGGGAACCCAGAACCTTCTCACCTTGAGTCATCAGTTCTAACCACTCTACCACCCAGGCATAAAAACATCAAAGTATTGTAAGGCATAAAAACACCATCGTGAAATGTTCATGTGTTGCTTAGCAACAGTCCAGTATCAGTCCATGTGTGGAACTATTTGTGTTTGCTTCGCCAAACAAATGATGAAATAAACAAACAAATCATAATGTGTTCTTGCTTATTTAAGAACTGTTATATAAAATCATAACTGTATAACCGAGAGTTTCATATGCCGACTCAGATCCAAACATACAGCCAAGTGTCACAAAAGAATACAGTAAACTTTATGTTAACTGGCTGAGGTTTGTTGAAATCTTTTCAAATACAAGCTAATAATGTAAGCACACACTGAAAGTTTAGGCTATGGGTCATCGTGGAATATCCTTAGATTAACTGTGGGTTGAGCTAACATTTCAAACTGATGTCTGAGATTTGTCAAAGGCTTTGAGCTGTTTTTAAATACCCGCCCTGTGTCCCGCGACTTGGGATGCTATCCAGCCAGTTAGCTACTTTAATGCGTCCGTTATCGGACAGACCCTGTCTCTACTATTTTCATTGCTACATCGGGGCAGTATGATTAAAATAAGCAGTCATTAGCATGGTTCAGACAAGTTTTCACAGTGAACACAGAAGACCATAATTCAAGCGAAATGCTGAGCGACATAACGTAGCTGGCTTAACAAGCTAACTTTAGCAACAACTTGGTAAGACAAATAGTGAACGTTAGCACAACTGAATTTAGCTTGCTAACTGGGCTAACATGATGTACAACCCGCCGCACATATTCTCTCTGTAACAACGAAGTACGAGTCCATAGAGTGTTGATAAGCTACACTATCGTTTACTTTACTTATTTGAGAAGTTGGCTGCCAAAGGCCATTTACCTCTTGTTGAACATAAAGACTCCTTTCAGTCCTGCTTCCTGTCTGCTTTGCTAGCCAGCGCTAGCTAGCTAATCAGTAAACTACAAACTGTGGCGTCATGGGAATTATTTTCCCGAGTTGCATTTCTCGCCATGAAAAAGAAATTTCACCAAACCTTATCAAGAGGTTATTTAATAAACATTTTGGTATCATTTGTACAATTTGGTGTGTACATATTGATATTACCACAGTCTTTAAGTACATCTAATAATTACTGAGTAACTGATGTATCATCTTTACAAGCCAGAACCTACAGCTTTCTACATATTAACTGCATAACTTCTTCTTCACATTTATTTCTCTATATGAGTAAGCAGTGGTTACTCCATATATTTACCATGCTGTTATTGCACAGGTTAAGTATGAAAAAATGCTGAACCAAAAAACAGCATATTATTATTTACAGGAATGAGGGGACCAACCAGCACATATAATTACTAAGGTATGACCTTTCTACAACCCATCCCCAGCTTAATACAACGAGTTGAAAACAAGTACCTGTGTGTGACTATCATTAAGACAGAGAAACTCATCAGTGGCAAAACATTCGCTTCACTGCCAAGACCCCTGTTAACAGCTTCATCGAAACCACTGAATAATATAACCATAACCAGAAACACTACCAGCAATGACTGTCATCCACAAACACAACACTCTGTTGTTAACCACTTTGGTTACTGCTTTTGAAAAGCAGTATGCAATCCATATTGTTCTATTAGTCTACTTGTCCCCAAAGAGAACATGTTCAGTTGCATTACACACACTACATCTGAAATGATATTCTGTGGCTTTTATGAGTGAGACATGTGCAGTACAGCAAAGTGAATTTCCTCTTTGGGACAATGAAGGCTCTGTTTTCTATTTGAGAGCTTGAGAGCTTATAATTGATTAATTACTCTTAATCACGCTAGTTAATCCACTTAATTCCCCCACTGAATTCTGTCACTTTGCTGCTGCAGTGACCAAATGTGCCACACACAGGGGTTGTTACAAGTGTACAGTTAACCCAAGGAAAACAGCAAGTCTGCAACCTGATCAAATGCAAACTAGCAGTGAGATAAACATTATGCCCTATGTGCAAACTCTAACAGCTGACTTATTAACACTAAGACTGCTTCCAAATTAATTACTGATAAATTACGACTAACCCCAACTCTTCCTTGGCCGGAAAGTTTCATCAGAAAACATTTGCATGTCATTAAAAAAAAGAAAACAAATGCTCTTCTATGGATGACAGCATAAGAATCCAGAAAATGAAGAGGGAAGAGAAGTGCAGCACTGGTCGTAATGATTTGGTCTGGACAGTGACGTCTCTGTGTCCAGAAATGATGGAGGAGATGATACTTCTTGGCCAAAAAATGTGCACTAGATTAGAGATCAGTTTTCTTAACACACAAATTCTTCCTGCAATACCTGTGGCATTAATATCAGAAAGTAACACTGTGCTGTTCTTTTGTTGAAGTCAGAAATTATATTGGATTAATGATACTGATAGATTGATAATGATAAATACATCACACCAAGGTAAATGATCTAATGATAATAAAAATAAAATGTGACAAAATCCAAAAAACCAAGAAATGTAATGTAGATATGTAATGGATACAGATCATTTGCAGTAACATGTAGTCATGTACAGAGACAAAACACATAAACAATGATCTTAAACCAAACATGGAACAGGAAACATTCAGATTATAAAACAACAACATTTCATTATATAGATTATTCATATTTTAAAACCTGACTGGTTTGGTTTAGGATTGTAAAAGTGGTCCGCACTAACAAGAATTTCTTGGTCCTAACAGCATCTTACCACCAGTGTTTCATTCACAACCATGACACATAAAGCATTAGTGGGTGGTGAAGTTAGTGCTAAGGCACCTCCAACTTTAAAGACATAAGAGTGGTAGTAGTTGTAGTTTGGTCTACATCATGTCACATATTATTATTTAACAAAGCATTTCTTTACTAAAATAGCCAAGTGGTTACATCTCCTGTGAAAATGTATATGTATTTACAAGGGTGTAATTAAATACATAAAAAAATAAATAAAAAAAACTTTCTAGGTAATATCATACAACATCTGAGTGGCGTACATCGCCATCTTCCTGAGTCTGTCCCCCAAGCATCTTATTGGACCAATAGTTTTCAGCTGGAGCTGCAAGAAAAGAGAATGAAAAGACACAAATCAATAAAAAACATTTTAAAACCATTTTCCAAAACAAAAATTAACAGGAAACTTGAGTTTTGTCTAGTTACCTGTCAGCAGCGTCCTGGTCAGCGTCGGCACTGCAGTCTGCTTTGGATGAAGACGCTCTCAACTTACATGGATCTAAAAAGACAGAAAAAGTAATAAAGTTGGGATCTGTCCACAAAAATTATAAAAATGAGCAGGAACTAAAACGGTGAGCTCACCCACCTTGTATCCAGCGGATCTGAGTTGCCGGGCCATAGCCCTGCTCGTTCTTAGCCGCGATGCGGAAGACTACTGCTGGCCGGTTGGAGGCGGAGCAGTCGATGTGGGCGTTGTCCAGGTGCGAGGAGTTGACTGAGCAGGACGTCTTCGTGCCGCGGTAGATCCTGATGAAGGCCATCTGACCCGGACGCTCCGAGGTGGTGGAGCGGCTTTTCCTCACCGCCATGTACATGGAATACTCCAGGATCCGGCCCGACGGAGAGGGTGGAGACTCCCATGTGATGTGGACTGAATCATTGGCCTGCACAGAAAAGGGAAGAATAGAGAGTTAAATCAGATATTTTTTTTATTTATCAGTGTGAGAACCCTGATGTTCCCATGTTCCCCATACGACTGTGTACATCTGTCGGAATTTCCTCAATATGTCACCTTGGTAATCTTGACAGCAGAGGGCGCTCCAGGGAAACCAGGCTGGCAGGTCTTGAACTCGCTGACTGGGCTGAAGTCTCCCTGGCCAAAGCAGTTGATGCCTGCAACTCTGAACCTGTAGTTCTGACCTGGAGTGAGCTCCTGCTTCTCCCTGCCATGGTAGTCCTGAGGACCTGGCAGCTTCCTCTGGGGGAAGGACTGATGGGAAAAGAAAGGATGGACAGAGGATGAGTGGATATGCCTAAGACAGAAGATTAAGAATGGGACAGTGTTGAATAACATCTTTATAGAATCCTATGGTTTTACCTCTTTAGTATTTGTGGGCCGGCTGCTGACGGTTGTTGTCACCTGGTCGCTGTCAGCAGGGAGAAAGTAGTGGCTGACCTCAGAGAAGAGGGTTTTGAACACACCAACATCAAACCACACTGCTTGATCTGGATCCTGCTGAACCTGGAGGGGACAGTTCTTAGCTTAGGCCAAGCCAAGTGAAAGAGATAAGAGTTACTGTTCAGAGGTGGACCTCACCTGATCTGTACGGGCGTAGAAATCGGCTGTCTTGTCAGCAGAAACAGGCCTGTCTGTCAAAGATTTTTTAAAAAATCTACATTGAACTTCTGGAGCTACTTAAGTCTGGTTTATCGCTGACGTTTAGAGCGTGTGCATCATCATTACCTGACTGGTGCTGAGCTGAGCTGCTGACCTCTGTTACTGATGTCTCCAGTCCAACAGCTACAACAAATACGACAGAGTGGAAACTCATTTGATCAGGTCATTTCAAACTACTGAACATTTGCTCTGGAGTAAAAGCTTGCTGTGTGGGAAATAAGGGCAAAGGAATAACTGAGGCGTTGTAACTTCAAATATGCCTACTCCTGCTTTTATCACCCGTTAAAGTAAAATGCGTGGGAGCATAAAAAACATTTCAGGTATCCCAGCATTAAAGGGGTAGACACTTGACAACAAGACTTACAGCAGCTCTTTGGGTCCAAGACCTCTGAGTCTCTTGCAGCACTCCTCCCCCAAGATGCATGGGTCTCTGCTGATCCACTGGATGACTTCACTGAAATTTCCTTCTGTACTGAAGCATCCTGAAATTTGAGGAGAAATTTAAAGAACAATATTAATTTGTTCTAAACACTAAGCATTGCTAGTGTAAGGCACAAACAAAACACTGCAAAATTAATTCTGCACGATACGGTCCTGCTAAACATCGCTAAAACCGCATGGATGTTTTTTCCTGCAACTTCCCTATCATGCAGGTTTTTTCTCTCCTGAGTCATTTCAGATAAAAGCATCTGTTAAATGCCTAAAGCTCATCTTGATTTCTATTACTTTTAATGGCTTTACTCTGACATGAACGACTGAACGTAACAAAAGGAGGTAACACTAATATCTAATGAAGCTGCTTTTAACATGCTCTGAGTGAACGCACAATAAAAATCAACTTCAGTGTGTTCATATTCTGTCTGACAACAGATGCTGGTCTGTTCAGTGCATTTAATCCCAAAAAGGAATATATATGTGCATATCTACCTGAGTTGATCCTTTCTCTTCTCTATTTGTGGTTGCTTCATTTTGAGTTTGAAGAGAGTTGACACCTAAGAAAAGAGAGTGAAGAAAAGTTTTACAGCAACGACAGAAAATTATTTGTATGATCTACACCTTCACAAATATGATGTCATTTTTTTCCATCAGTATGTTTTTTCTGGTGCTGAAATAGTCCATTTACAATTCTATGTTTCTTTTCTGTGTCCTGTGCTGAGATAACTACATACGCCTCCTCTCACCTGCAGGATCTTTATTCTTTCCCACTTGTCCATCTGTTCGTGTGGGATCACCCGGTTTGGCAGGTGGGTTGCTGGATGCAGTTTTGGGAGGACACACAGGCTGGATCTGAAGGATGTAGCAGTCTGCTGCAGCCAGGGGGCGCCATGCCACATGGAGCATGCTGACTGTGGATTTTATGAGTAGCACTGCCTCTGGGGTGGCTGGTCGATCTAAGAACAGAACACAGATTATTATATTTTGCTGTGTTTGTTTTTTCAGCACTAGCTTGAGTGGCTCTGTCACTTCTCACCTGTCTCCAGGTACCACAGATCCTTGCAGCAGACCTGGTAGTTCCAGCTCTTGCGGTATCCATCGCGGCCACTCCAAATGTAAAGCCTGGACCCGACAGTAGCAGCACAATGGCCAGCCCTGGCTCTGGGCCTAAATGCATACGGATCATCACTCTGGGGTCCCTGGCTCTGCAGCTGGGACTCTATGTCGTCCTGCTCCTCTGGGCCAAGGTTGTGCCAGCTCATAGTGTCTGTTGTAAGAAAACATTGAACTTGCTGACAGCCCATGAGCCAAATAAAAAAAAAAAACACTTATAAGTTTCATCATCTGCAAAACCACTCACAACCTAAGAATTATGAAATTACAATGACATTTTTTGGTGAGAAGAACTGACCTAAGTTGAGCACACTTAAAGAGTTAGAACAGATCCATTTGGTTCCTAGAGCATTGTTTTCATCTGACTCTGGAACAGGAATCCAGCCTCCAAAAACATACATCCTGCAGATAGAGGGACATACTGTAGTTTTTCAAAGGCTTGTTAGGTCAGGTGTCACAAATAAACTGTACACGTGCCTAAAACAGATACGATGGCAATAGCAAATAGAATCCCTTACTTGTTTCCGATGACACTGGCAGAGTGAAGGCTTCTGGGAAGTGGCATGGAACCCCTTGTTTGAGGTGCTGACCACTCCATTGTGTCTGAAGACAAGAGGATAAAGATAAGGTAATTTAAATATTCCAAACAATTGCTTCTCACCGCCATTTAAAAGTGTAGACATGCAAATAAGCCTACCACAGTTTTGTATTTAATTTAAGATAGCACTTGATGGATCAAAGGAGTTTCAGTTTTCTATTCTGATAGTATTGGTACAATCTGTCGTCCTACCGAGGTCAAGCTGCCAGAGGTCGTCTAACCGGCTTCCTTGCATTCCTCCATAGATGTAAAGCTTCGGGGAGCTGAGGCCATCATAAGCCACCGAGCTGTGAGACTCCCGTGCTGAAGGACCACCCCCTTTTGTTTCTGGGATGCTCCAGCCTCTCGCCCCTGATACTGACTGCAGCTCCAGCTCATAAAGGTCACCCATGTATCTAAAAGAGTAAAAAATTCAACTCTTAGTTTGAGGTTATATTACAAACTGTGCCATCTCCATGCTGGTTAGCTGTTAGATTTAACACTGACTATAGATTTGCATTTACAAAAGGCCTGTTTTGCAATCAACAATAATGTCTCACATTTGCACTTTACCTCGGTACATTGCCGTTGGGGTCTTCACTATCATTGGCCAGTCCTCCAAACAGGTAACATTTATTGCCCAAAAGAGTGAAGCTGTGTCCAATCCGAGGGCAGGGAGGCAAGCCATTCTTGGGTGCTCTGGGCTTTAGCTTCTTCCACAGCCAGCGACTAGCCTGAGCCACACAACACCAAAGATGAGATTTTAAAATGTTCTACATAAAAGCACCAGGACCAAAATCAACACAGAACAAATGTGATGACATTACCTGAAGTTCATAGAGGCTGTTGGTGTATTTGCCAAATTCCACCATGCCACCAAAGACCAGTATCCGAGTACCCTCACAGACAAAGCCATGGGCAGCACAGCCAGGTGGAATGTCACCCCTCACCGCAGGCAGAAACCACTGTTTTGAGACTGGGAGAATGGGCACATGTCAGCCATTGCATCGAACATAACATCCTGGTGAATGCTGCCTTTTAGTTACTCCATCTGAAAATAACTCTTATTACAGACAGAACTATTTGTGCGGTAGCCAGGTAAATATTCCTCTTGAACAGGACTTTTAATAAATAATAAGAAAAACATTAAATTGTAATTCCCTTTATTGCATAATGCCCTCTAAAACACATTCTTGTACAGCAATCTCCTGAAAACCCAACTGCCTGAATACAACCTCAACCTCCGCTAACACTACCATGATGCATGCATAGTTAGTATGTTTAAAGCTACACTTGAATGTTTATTGTATGTTTTTTAACGTTATGTTCAGCTGTTTTCAGTTAACGCTACACTGGCCTAACAAACGACACGACGCTTTTACCACTCTGCCTTCTGTTAGTCATTGTGTTTCACCAGTTAACATAACAATTAACGTCACAGCTGCGTGCATCTCGGGGAAAAAAGTGAAGCTAGCTGGTCAGCTTGAAGTACCGCTATTCAGCTGAAGTTAGTGGCTATTTAAAAATAACAAACCCTCAAAACTGTCACCAAAGTTATGCTAAAATTGTCGAGGACCCTTTAAACAAACAACAAAAGGTGGCGGCAAAGGGATTGTTAGCTGCCGTGGTCTTTTCAACTCCTTGGCATGCTAAAAACATTATCCGCTAACCTGCTAGCTAGCGTCCAGCTAACGTTAGCTTACCAGTGTTGTAAACATGGAGGTCCTCCGCTATCCCTTCGTTTCCACCACCAAACACAATAATCAGCTCCCGTATTGCTGCAGCTCGGTGTCCATGTCTGGACCGCGGTACCACTCCTGTAACGGAATTGACTTTTCTCCATTGCGGTTCCTCGGCATCAGTGGTCATTTTCCCCTTAGGGAGCCTGAAGTTTGGCGCTGTTGACGTTTCAAAGACGTGGGCGGGGCCAAGGGGGAATCAGGAAATTCAATCAGAGAGGAGGAAACAGAGCGACGTCTCACTCTGCCTCGTTTATCGGAGATCAAACTTTAAAGGAATGTAATGGAAATGCAGACTAGTTTTCTAAATGAATAACGAAGAGTGACAACTATCTATATACTTTATTTGTATAATCAAACATAGAACAGATGAAGGGGAATTCCACTGATTTTACAAATTAAATTTGATTTACACCTGTGAGTATTACTAAACCAGTAAAGAAGGTTGTATAATGTCTTCTGTGACTCTGGAGGGAGCTAACATCTGAAAAATAACCCTGAAGAAGCCAGCAATGATGTCATCAGCAGAGTTGGTTGAAGCAGGTTTGTCTGACTTGCATCAAACCGTCCATCTGAAACTGTGAATACACTCCTGTGTTCATTGTCATCATTGTCAAAGGAGGTCATCTATCAACATATGAGACACCAGATAACAGATTTAATATAAACCGGTCTAAATATGACAGCCAACTACATGTTATAAAGTCTTTGAGAACTAAGGTAGAAGGGCGCACAGGCTGCAAAAGGAAAATATAAAGTAAATTAATGACTAGTTAAATTAAGCAAATGATTGAAAAATATTAAGAATTTATTCAGTTAATTTAATTAATTTAATATAGGCTATATATATATATATATATATATTTATATTTTTTTTGTGTGTTCAGTTATATGCAGTTGCCCCCTCACCCCGGCCCCCTTCCCTCCGTCAGAAAGTGATTTATTTTCTTTTCCGCATTTTATTGAAGTGAAATCAAACGTTGGGCAACATTATAGGTTACTGAAAAGCCCGAACTTGACCCTGTGTGCGTGCATGTGTGTGTGTGTGTGTGTGTGTGTGTGTGTGTGTGTGTGTGCAGGAACAGGAACCCCTCCCGGTGAACAGGAAGAGGGTGACGTCAGTTGTCAGTTGGCTTCACGCTGTGTGTAGCCGGAATTACAATATTTGCTGTATGTGTGTATGCGCGCGCGACCGTGTGTGTGTTTGTGTGTGCGTGTGTTTGTGTGTGTGTGTGTGTGTGTGTGTGTGTGTGTGTGTGTGTGTGTGTGTGTGTGTGTGTACGCGAGAGAGAGAGAGCCTGCCTTTAGACTATTTAAGTGCATGAGTTGTGTGCAGGTCTGAGTGTGTGTTGCGCGCAGCTTGAATCCGTGAGCGTGAGAGAGAGTGATTTAAAAGGAGGGGGTGTGTTTATGGGAAATTGAGAGTCTCTGTGTGTGTGTGTGTGTGTGTGTGTGTGTGTGTGTGTGTGTGTGTGTGTGTGTGTGTGTGTGTGTGTGTGTGTGTGTGTGTGTTTACACAGACGGGAATACTGCGCCAGAGGAAGTGCGCCGGTTCTCCGTCTGCGCGTCCCGACTTCCTGCTCTGAGGAGGGAGAGAGAAAAGCTGCGGATCCGCTTTCAGTCAGCAGCAGCGGCAGCAGCATGGAGCCCCAACACAACACACACTCCCCGCTTTAAGACACAAACACACACATCACGCACGGGCAGACGGACAGAGGAGCAGTTGCCGTCCACTGCTGGGTAGGTGCATGTTTCCTTCTATCTACAACTTTCTGAAGTTACGTGTGTGTGCGCGCTTAATTGTGCGTAATGGAGAGAAAGAGTCAGACTTGTATTAGCTGGTGCTGTATTCGCTGAAAGGTTCAGATATTCACTGTCAACTTAAAAATCACTTTAAAGCCGCGCGTAAAGTGTTAAAACTGCGCGTAAAAGCGTTAACGCGGTGCGTAAATGGCGTTAAAGCTTAAGTAGTCTCCGCTTTGGCATAGACTTATGCGTAAAGTTGCTCCAGTTTGCTTTGGCCACATTTTGAAAAGAAGGAAAGAAGAAAGGTTAGGGAACAGGCTGCTGTGGAAAAATCAGCCCTGGCTCCTTTAAAATCTAGTAGTAGACTTTCTGGTTTGTCTGGACCTCGCAGACTAATTGCCATGCGCTTCCGGATTGAAGCTGGCAGCAGACAACATCTTGAAAATGAGTCACTGGTGCAAAACAAAGAACCATTTGAGTTCCAGCAAACCCCCCTCCCACCTCTCACCCCTTACACACACACACTTCCAAAAATAAGAAATAAGCAGCCCAGAGAATATGGATCATGTCATGTGCAGCTTTTTGGTTTGGTTTGTTCCTGCTGGACTGAAGACTGTCCACAAGACACAACAGTGTGTGTCTGATAGATTGAGGGAATAAGCATCTTTATGCATGGGTCATATATTATGTGATTTGTGAGCTTATGTGAAGAGAGGGAAAGAATTCATAGATTGCCAAACTCTAAGCTGTAACACTGAGGACCTGAGCGCCAGACTGGTTTTATTCTGAAATTGAAACAATATTTCCTGCTGCTTTGTTCCTCCTCAGTCCAAACTGGTCAAAGGTGAAACATCAGCGCATGAGCATAGATCAAACAGAGTCTGAATTCAGCACATAGATACATTCTCCATATATTGTTGTAGATCTGTGTGTGTGTGTGTGTGTTGTTGAGGTGGTGGTCTTAAAAACACCATTCCTGCATCCGCTAAGTGTTAACAATGACAGATCTTCATACAAATAAAGCTGTGTGTGTGCATGTGCATGCGTGTGTGTGTGTGTGTGTGTGTGTGTGTGTGTGTGTGTGTGTGTGTGTGTGTGTGTGTGTGTGTGTGTGTGCGCGCGTGCGTGTGTGTGTGCATGTGCGTGTGTGGGTGTGTGTGTGTTTGTGTGTGCGTTTGGTGGTTCCCGGTGACAGGAAGTTCTACCTCCCAGAGAGGGAAGGCCTTTTTCCGGGAAAGACACCCCTAAAGCTGAATGACAGGAAGTCCTCGTTTAGACAGACAGCAGTTCTTCCATCACTTAACACACACACACACACACACACACATACATACACATGCAGGAAAAAGAAAGCGAGGATATGGATGGTTGTGTGTATGTGTTTGTGGTGGTGGGTCATTGTTTGCACCACATGTGTGTTCCCCTCTCTGTTGCTTGATTTCCTTTTAGAAAGACATTGAAAGAAAGACAGCTCCATACTGTATTTTAATATTCAATCAGTGGTGATTATAGTTGCATTACTGAACCATATGTTGTTATGAATGTAGGTAGAGTAACCATCACTTCTGGTGGTAAGGTCCTTGGCTGTTCCTCCACTGTGGAGGTTGATGTGGTTGCCATGGGGACTTCTGATGCAACTACAAAGTCTCTACTGTCATATTGTCATGGTTGCAAATTAAGTTAGGTTCTAAAGAGTTATTTGTTGTTTTTCTTTTTACAGGAAGTAGTTTTCTATTCTATATATAGAAAATATATATATATATATATATATATATTCTATATATAATGATTTGAGAGACGGAGAAACAGCAAAGGAAAAACAGCAAACAGACAGACAGACAGACAGACAGACAGACAGACAGACAGACAGACAGACAGACAGACAGACAGACAGACAGTCTGGTTTCCAGGTAAACATGTCGGTTAGACCCCTGCTTGTCTTGGCAGGTCACTGACCACATCCTGCTTTATCACCATGGAAACATTTGGAAACCAACCAATGTCTGGCCATCTTCCTCTCTTTCTCTCTATAACATGCACACATGCACACATTTATTTATTTTATTGTTTTGTATCTTTACACAAAATGGAACATGGCTCAAATAGCATATATCCTTTTGTTCAGCTATAGCACACAGTCACACTTATGAATGGTTGTTCACATGGGTGTGGGGACGTAGCAAGAACACAAATGCAGTAAATGTGCAAAAAAAGTCAGTAAGTAAAGAGTTCAGGCTTGTCTTACTGTCACTGCATCACTGAGCATGAAAACATTTCAATCATTATATATTTAAAGACGGATGGATCCAATCAAAAACAGCTGAAAGTGACTCATGTCTTGTGTGGAAGCAAATGCATTAGTTAAGATTCTCCATTCATTACTTTAGGGGTTAATTTGTCACCTGTTTGTATATAAAATCTGCTCTTTCCCAGAATTAAATGAGTCTAGGAGGTGAAGTCAGGACACGTGGAAACATTCACCCTTGAGCATCAGTGGCAATTTGACGCGCGCTTGTATTTACTACTAACACCGCCCTGTCTTGGTCAGCGAGATGTAGATTAGATATTTTGTATCAGGGACACACAGCGAAGCTGATTGTCCTGTGTTTACATGTTTGTGTTGTTGTTTGTTTGTGGGTTCAGGGTCTAGGACAGGAAATTCCCGGTCTGAATCAGGGGTGGTGTTGGGCATGGTCAGCAATGTTAATGCTTGTGGTTTTTAGTGGAGTTTGCATCAGAGGAAGGATTACGGTACACATTTGTGTTGACGTTAACAATCCTCCTCCTCTCCACCCACCTACCCTCCTTCTTTCCTTCCTTCCTCCTTTTTATGTCGTCTGTGCTGTTAGTCATTATAAGTCTGAGAATGTGTAAAATTATTTATATTTAAGAACAAAGGCATCATGACTTATATGAGGATCTTAATTAGTTTATAATATTTTCCACTTGCTAAAACTTGTTTTCCTTTAACTGCATACACTAGTAATGCAGAACTGGCTTCATGTACACAGCTGAATTTCATGTGAATATTAAACCTGCAATAGTCAATATGTTTGTAATAACAATGGATCCACAGATAATTGTCACCTGACTCTAAGGGGCATTTTAGCATCATTCAGCTCATTGTTTTGCTTTTACAACACCCACAGTTTTACTCTTCTGGTTTACTCTCACTGCTCTCCTAAAGCAAATTTTAAGCCGCTATTTTCAGCAAAACAGCTCTGATAAATCCACTGTGTGATGCCTGCCCAGCAATGAACAGCAGACAGACAGAGGTAAAGGTCCCATAAAATGTAAAATATGGGACCTTTAAAAAGCTGAAGGAGACCAAACAAACAAAAGAAAGAGTGAAAATTGGCAGGAAACAAAACTTCAAGTAATGCTAATGCTACTCTATGTCTGCT